GTGTGTGTGTGTGTGTGTGTGTATGTGTGTGTGTGTGTGTGTGTGGTGTGTGTGTGTGTGTAGCCTCCAAATACACCGAAACGACCGGCAGCGGGAGAAGAGGATGACGAAGATGATTGGGAGAACCCGAAGAAACCAAAAAGAGTAATAAAAACTCCATACCATGCACGTCAACGGCAGCCCAAAGAAGTTGAAGTAATATCATCCAGGGATAATGAACCTCCCACACCTATCAGGACTACCATACCCTCATCAACTCACGATGTGATAGAACCGCAACTGACAGAGAAGGAGAAACAAGATATATTAAAATATGTAGAAACTGAGGCTCCCGAAGTCGAAGCACTGGATGAGGCAACACTGAAACGTATGATTCTTTTATTTGAGAAGAGAGGTCTTAGAAATCAGGAAATGAGAGTTAAATTCCCGGATCAACCAGAGAAGTATGTACATATAGTATATACATAAGTTATTGCCTTGAAACACATATAGATCTTAATATATAATTATTTCTCTTTGGACTTCTACAGATTTATGGAATCTGAGGTGGAATTGCATGAAACTCTGCAAGAGCTGCATATTGTAGCAACTAATCCAGATCTGTATCAATTGATGGTAGAATTAGGCGCTGTGCCTTCTTTACTTGAATTATTATCTCATGAAAATACCGATATAGCAGTTGGTGTGGTGGATCTTCTGCAAGAATTGACTGATGTAGATATATTACATGAGAGTCAAGAAGGTGCAGATACACTCATTGATGCTTTATTGGAACAACAAGTTTGCGCTCTTCTAGTACAAAATCTTGAAAGACTTGACGAGGCAGTGAAAGAAGAAAGTGATGGTGTTTTTAATACACTTGGTAATTATTTAAGGGAAAAAATATCATGTTGAAAATTAAAAAAGAATATCTTTGAAATATTTAAAGTATTTTGTAAACTATTTTGAAAGCATAATTAGTATATATGTTGATAAAAAAATTTTATTAATAATAGTAAAAAAATATAGTAAAAACGATGATTTTAACTTCCAGCTATTTTTGAAAATCTTTTGGAGTTTAGACCAGACTTGTGTGCAGATGCAGGAAAGCAAGGTTTAATGCAATGGTTACTACGTCGAATTAAGACAAAAACACCTTTTGATGCAAATAAACTTTATGCTAGTGAACTTTTGTCTATACTTTTGCAGCACACACCAGAGAATAGACTTCTTTTAGGTGACTTAGATGGAATTGACGTTTTATTACAACAATTAGCTGTATGCATTTATATTTTCATAAACTTTTATATATAAAGTTTCCAAATTTAGTCAATTTAAAATTGGATTATTTGCAGTATTATAAGAGACATGATCCACAGACTGCAGAGGAACAAGAGATGATGGAAAATTTATTTAACGTTTTATGTTCAAGTTTAATGGCTATTGTAAATCGCGATAGATTTCTACGTGGTGAAGGTCTTCAACTTATGAATTTAATGTTGAGAGAAAAGAAAATGTCACGGAATGGATCTCTTAAAGTAAATTTATCTATAGCAGGATAAGTTTAATAATTAATCATATCAGTATAGATTATTATTATTATTAATTGTAGGTTTTAGATCATGCTATGAATGGTCCAGATGGAAAAGATAATTGCAGTAAGTTTGTAGATATTCTTGGATTACGAACAATATTTCCTCTGTTTATGAAAACTCCAACAAAAAATAGAAAAAAGATGCTTACTGCAGAAGAGCATGAAGGTATTTACACAAATTATTGAAAACATATATAAGATAGTTTATAATAATATGTATGTAATTTATATTTATTAATATCACTAAAAAAGCAGTTTATAGAATAAACTGAATCGTGAAAATAATAAAAAATTTTGCAGAACATGTAGTTTCCATCATAGCAAGTATGCTGAGAAATTGCAAAGGACAACAGCGTCAAAGACTACTTAGTAAATTTACAGAGAATGATTATGAAAAAGTGGATCGGTTAATGGAATTGCATTTCAAGTATCTTGAGAAAGTAGAGGAAGTAGAAAAGAATGGAAAGGTAGATATGCACAATTAGAAATATACATCTAAAAACAAAAAAGCGAAAATTCATATCCTTTCTTATTTATTTTTATTACAAGGAGGATGAAGATGAAGAAGAATCCTATTTAAGAAGATTAGATGGTGGATTATTTATATTGCAATTAGTAGATTATGTACTTTTAGAAGCTTGCACTGGCTGTCCACCTGCAGTCAAACAGCGAGTAACAAGAATCTTGGCACAGAGAAGAGCATCTCTTAAAACAATTCGACACATTATGAGAGGTAAATTGCGTATAATATCATTTAATTCTATAGATTAAATTATAAATCCATACAAAAAAATACATATTTTTTTATTTAAAAAAACCAGAATATGCTGGTAACTTAGGAGATGTTGGTGATACAGAATGGAAAGAAGCAGAACAGCAACATATCTTACAATTAATTGATAAATTTTGATATGTATTTTGTATGATATGTATATTGATGTCAAAATATATCATTGTAAATCATAATAAGATTTAGTAACTTTATATTGCTATATATAATGTATAATATAATAAAGGACATGTAATCATTACACAAATATGTAGGTATGTCAAAATAGCTATTAATTGAGTCTAGCCAGAAATAATATCTTGTCAAAATCCGAGCGGAATCAACTGTATGCGTGTTTCTATAAATGCGTAAATAAAAATGTATATTTTACTTAAATTATTATTTTTTTTTTTCAAAGTAATAATATAGGAGAATTGTAATACACTTCGACGTTTTTATCCCTATCCTACCCATGATATAACAGATAGAATCAGATATTTGCCACAATTTGACTTTGTTGATTCTGGATAATGCCTAGAACGAGTTATGGAAGAATTTTTTAGTAAATAACTTTTAATCTCTAATAAACGAAACAAAAATTGTAGGATTTGAAGAATAGAATATCAACCTTCTTCTTCTTCTTCTTTCTTTTATGGCTGGTTGGACATTAGTCGCCCATACACCATTGTTTCTTATGGGTTTGTGAAATATAAGCAAAATTCCTCTAAAGAGGAGGGAGTCCAAAAAAAGGTCCAGACAAAGGACATACGCAGAACGTAAAAACACGTCCGAACCCAACACGTTGTCAGTCGGAACTTGCGTTTTATATACATCTTCTTCTTCTTTCTTTTATGGCTGGTTGGGCATTAGTCGCCCATACACCATTGTTTCTTATGGGTTTGTAAAATACACGCAAAATTCCTCTTAAGAGAGGAGGGAGTCCAAAAAAAGGTCCAGACAAAGGACATACGCAGCACGCAAAAACACGTCCGAAACCGACACGTTGTCAGTCGGAACTTCTTAGAATATCAACCTATTCAAAAAATATAGATTATATATATATCAGAGAGAAGACCTACATGAAGCTAGCCGGCAGAAATTATTAAATATAATTATTTTTAACTTTTCTGAGTGTATTACATTTGTAAATCATTTGTGATTGATTGTGAATTTGTTTTTAATGTTTGTGACAAATTAGGTTTTTTGTAATTAACAATTTCAGTTTAGTCATGATGTCAGCCGACACTTTTCAGTGATAAACAGATTTTGTGATAATTGATAACTATAATCGACAGGAAATCATTTGTGATTTACAAATATACCAACGTTACGTTTGTGAATTGATAATTTTTTTAATTACGTGCAAACTAAAGCCTGCGGCATACGGTACGATTTTGCGTACTAGATTGCATACGAGACATTTTGCTAGCAATTATAATGGCTATGCAACTTGAAATATTATGTGCTGCGTGTTCCTGTGCGTGCTAGTTAGAGCAAAATGCTAGCAGCATGCGCGCAGATTGGCAGCAAATTTAATCAGAATTTCATGCCAAAACCATAGTCATTTGTGATCACATTAAGCTCAGGTTTTGTCGACAGAGCCTGCTGACAGGCAATGTGAGCAGATTGGCAGCAGAAATCACGCAGAGCCTGCGCGCAATCTGACGGCAGATTGACAGCAGAAATCGAGCAGTTTCTAGACATTTATATAAAAACATTAAAATGCACAAATTAATTACCCACCACACGGCCAGGTGAGAAGGATTAAGTGAACAATTAGAAAGGATTCCTCTTTAGAAGGGGAAGATAAAACTCAAAAATATGATCCAAAGGACACACGCGTAACGTGTCTGAACACGTTCGTTCCCGCCCACGGGCGGCAACGAACTTTTTTGGCTATTATCTTTATTAAGGGCTAAGGCCGATATTACATTTGTCGTACGACAAACTTTTTAAGCATATTGATTGGCTGCAAAATAGATACTTTCTTGAGTCTCTAGAAATTAGCTAATCAATGCGCTTAAAAAGTTTGTCGTACGACAAATGTAATATCGGCCTCAGACTACGCATTGAAGATTGAGAT